TATTTATTTTAGGATTTGTTCGGCCCCCGTTTTTTTTTTTGCTTTTATTTTTTTCTTTTGGCTTCTTGGCTTCTTGGCTTTTTGGCTTCTTGGCTTCTTGGCTTTTCGGCTTCTTGGCTTTTTGGCTTCTCGGCTTCTGGGCTTTTCGGCTTTTTGTTGGGTTATGCGGCTTTTGGTGACTTTTTGGCTTTGGCTCTTCGCATCCTCTGCATTCCCGGTTCCTCTTCGGCAGCTGGCGTTTTGGCTTTGGCGTTTATGCGGCTTTTGGCGGCTTTGGCTTTTCGCATCCTTTGCCTTCACAGTTCCTCTCTGGGCTTCTTTTTGGCTTTTGCACCCTTTCATTGTTTTTTGGATTTGGCTTCCCGCATCATCAGCATCACCAGTTCCGCCCTATTTAAATCATCACTTCTTCGAACATCATGGGGGGGAAGCCCCCCAGCCCCCCCCCCCAACCCACCCGCTACTGTTTAGATTGTTTGCAGAGTAATTGCACCCCTATTTGAAATCAACACTTCTTCAAACATCATGGGGGGGGGCTGCCGCCCCCCCCAACCCCCCCGCTACTTTTTAGATTTATTGCAGAGATTGAATTGCACCCCTATTTGAATCATCACTTTTTCGAGCGTCCAATTTCGCGAGAACATGCTGCAATACGATAATTTAGGTAATCTGTGTAATCCATGTATGTGTGTATGTATGCACTTCTTCGAACATCATAGGGGAAGCCCCCCCGCCAACCCTCCCGCTGCCCTTAAACTATCGCACCCTTTCTTGAATCATTGCACCCCTACTTGAATCATCACTTCTTCCGACATCATGGGGTAAACTGCCGCCCCCCCCAACCCCCCCGCTACGTTTTAGATTTTCTACAGAGGGGGGGGGGCTGCGCCCCCCCCCCAACCCCCCCCCCCCCTACTTTTTAGACTTTTGCAGAGATTGAATTGCACCCTTATTCGAATCATCACTTCTGCGAACATCATGGGGGGGGCTGCCGCCCCGACCCCCCAACCCCGCTACTTTTTAGTGATTTTTTTCAGGGACTGAAATGCCCTCCTATTTGAATCATCATTTAGTGCCTTTACTGGCCCGGACGAAACACGAAAAACAATCCCAAACAAATCCGAAAAATAATCCCAACATAAATCCGCACCCTTTCTTTAAACATGACCTGTTTGTGCAACTCAAAGCGGGACCCTCAAGGTGAATGTCGAGCCAAAAACAATGTCTTTTCTCTACAACACCGACACTTGGGTTCCCTTTGGTGTCCATTCGAAACAGCCACTCGAAGAAGAACAACACCCATAGGCTATAGGAGAACCCTGACTGCAGGACACCCGCTTCCCCATCACGCAGCGACACCTGCAGGAGTCGAGGCGCAAATGGGGCGGGCTCTCCACTTCTTGTGTTCCACGGGGTGTTGTGAAATCACGGGAACCCCCCTTTGGATGGTCTTAACATGAGAAGCAAGGGAGAAAGAAACCTCCTGCATGTTTTGTTTCTTTAAGGTAGCAAAGATCCTCCGGATGCTAAACGTCTTCGAAGAGGTAACATGGGCGCGGTTCATGGGGGATTTCCAATGCCATTGCATCAACGTGGCCAGGTGCGTGAAGCGGATCAAGCGCGGGGTTCGGCTCTTCAATGCGTCGGCCTCATTGAGCTTGTTTCAGGGGAACCTCAGGATCTTCAGAACCCACCAAAAGAGCACAGAAAAAGATGCCCCTGCAGATTGACATGTAAGAAAAGCATTTGTCGAAGAGTAGCCTGTTTGGGGGCCCTCTTTTGGGGTTCCATGTCAAGTTGCAAGGAGGTACAGCCAAACATCAAGTGATGGTAACACGTTCAAGTTGGTTTGATGGTTTCTCAGCACCTTGCATTTGGCGTAGGTGTTTTTTGTTGGTCAAATGAGCCTTGGTTTCCTTGAAAGTTCCATTCGGCCTTGCCGTGTTTTGCACTTGCTTGTTTTCTGAATGTGTGCCATCATTTTGGACACCCAGCAGTTGCAGGAGTGACCTGGAATACGTGTCTTTCTTTGTGACCAACACCTCGCCGAGTTGATACTTTGTGAATCCGCCCCCCATCGCATGTTATCGCTGTTAATCGGGGTACAACCAGACTCCTTGTTTTTGGAGGGCACCCTATTCGCGTTGCCGCGAAATCTGAGGTTAACGACTTTCCCTTTCCCTACAAGATCGATATTGAGGCACACGTCGCGGTCCTGCGCAACAAAGAGCCACCGAAGTGTGGAGGGCCAATTTGGGGCCAAGGCATTGACGCCTTTGCCCTGGTGAGTTCTTCGTTTCTTGGCAGATTGGAGACTCTGAATTGATGTGTGCAATCAATCATGCTGTGCCCTCGTCCAATCGCGTAGTGGACAGGGGGCCTTTTCAAGAGGGCCGTAGCTTCCCACAACCCTCCTGCCAGCTTGCATGCGTGTCTTACAGAGGGTACATTGAGCTCTACTTTGAGCAAGAAGTCAGGTCGTCTGGGCTTTTCCAGCTCCATGTTGGCCCCTTTCCAACCGCAGGCACCAGTTCGGGCGGCCTACGCATTCCAAACTTGTGTTCATAGTTGTTCTCTTCAGATGTGTTTCAAAATAGATGGCAGCAATTTCAGTACCATGCATCTGTGTTGCCTAAAGGGACACGACCTGGGCTTATGCTGTCTTCCTGAACACCAGAAGTTAGGAAGGCTCTTCCAAATCAGTTCCGAACATTTGAATGCCTGACCTTTCAAACATGTTCCAAGTTCTTGGCAAATTGTGTGGTGGCCCCAACTTCTAGCCTCGAATTGAGGTCAACACATTGCACACGCTGACTTGGGAGAAGAGGGGAAGCCCTAGTAAATGTTAAATGGTGACTGCTAGCGCCTGATAATTGTTTCTGGGGTCTCCTCAAACCATTGCTTTGGTATTTTCGGGTAGACTAAGTATGGCACTGCATCTGAACACCATTCCGATGTTCCTCGGCGGGTTGTCCCAGAACCTGCAGGCTGACTTCCCTCGGCTGCCAGGTCGCTTGTGCTGATCAGAGCTCCATTGATGCGATCAAGGCGGTCGGCGGAAGCATCACCATCGTCTACATGGACAGCCCTGGGCAACTGCAGTCACGGAAGCCAAAGGCCCCCACGGATGCCCCATTGGATGCCTTTAGTAAGGTCTTAGTAAGTTACCAAGGTTTGTTTGGGGGTAGCAACCACGTGCTCAGGCCTTTGTTGCTGTACCGTCCATTGCTGCCTTACCCCTCATGGCTAAGCCAGCAGCCTTGGGTTGTTGCCCACCTCCCGCGTGGCAATCTTGAGGACTTCAAAGCAAGTGTAGTCAGGGTTGCAGTATGATTTGTGCCAGTAAGCTAAACCAAGTTGATTAAGTCATGAACTTCATGAACTTGAATCAAACATAATGTGTGTTATTATTCAGCCGCTTATATTATCCACATGCCGCCCGCATGCGCATCGAGCGCATCGAGGAGCGGGTGGCGCTGCGCGCGCATGTGAAGCCTTGGAAGTTTGAGGCCCGACGGGTCCCTGTGGCGCTTGGCATCCAACACCCTCAAGAGGCTCATGTGAGGCACAATCAACACCCGGGCAGATGAAGGTTCCGGGAAAATCGCACCCATAGGAGCGCGAATCAGCCCTTTTGATCATTTTCACGGTTTTAGGTCTACCATTTGGCCAGGGTTTGATTGTGAGCTTCCTTCCAGCCGAGGGTTTTTTTAGGGGACGTGTTGTGCATTATTGCGACTAGGGTAGAAAGAAGCGGAATGTCTGTAGCTTCCTCTATGACTTGTGTTACGGGTGCGTGGCGCCTGAGTCATGCAAGGAGAGACGCTTGAGCCCCCCAATATCCACCAAAGCCGGTTGTCAGAACCCTTCTAAGAGCCCCTTTAAGAGGGCTCTAAGAACCTTTCTGGGGGGGGCTTTGCTTGTTTGCAAGGGCTGAGTCTTGGCAGGTCTTGCCCAGGACAGCGCGGCCTGGTTTGAAGATGGCAGTGGCCTCAGCCGTGTGAGCTGCGCACCAGAGGTGCCATGGTAAACCAACCGGCAGGGTCCTTTTTGAGGGGCTTAAGCACCTTTTGGGCCATGGATTGAACCCGAGGCTTCAGAACTTGCCTTGTAGTGGTGGTAGAATGCAACCACGCTCCTCATTGAGGGGTCTTTGTGATGACCCAGAAATTGTGACCACAGCCTGGTGTCTCTCCAACATGCGTCAACCTGTGGGGGACCAGAATGGCCCAACAGCACACAGCATAATTGTGCAGTTTTGACACATGCCAGAAGTATCAAGACTGTAACTCAGTAGTGATTCTTGAAATGCGAAGAGGGACGACGCGACTGGACCAAGCGGCTGCTTCAGACGACCTACATGGAGAAGATGAAAGCTCGAGGGGCGCTCGTCAAGTGCGCCACATTTCGCACATGGACTGCTGACATATCACTAGTCGAGCCTTGAGGTTGGGTGGTTCATCAGAATTCATCACTTCGTGTTTTTGGCAGGAAGCTTGGACTGTGATGATACCTGATCGCGGTCAGTTCATGTCAACATCGGACAAATGGCTCCCTGGTTGTTTCGGGTTGTTTCCTAGCGTGGGTTCAATTCAAGGACAGCTTTTGAACAAACCCACGTTATCCACCAAACTTCGTCCGCACCACCCCAGCTTACTGCAGCTGGCCAGCCTCACACAGTCACAGCAAGCGGGTGATGTTCCAACTTGACTCGTTTCAGCTGGGTCTTGGTTTCTCTCGAGTTGGTAGTCCCAGTTCGTAAATGCTAGAGAAACCAAGGTACACCGAAAAACCCTGTGACAGCCTGTGCGGGATAGATATTCTCCGAGAGAGAGCCTATACCTGGGTCTTCCGCTTGGTCACTTTTTAGGGCTCTGGGCATTTTTTTTGCTCGTTTCAGATTTTGAGCGGAAAAACTAAAAATGAGCGGAAATCTTGTTTTGGCATGATTTGGCAAGTTGTCTCCCGGAAAATGAGCGGAAATCGGCGGAAAATGAGCGGAAATCGGCGGGAAATGAGCGGAAATCGCCGGGAAATGAGCGGAAATGTGCTGCCACGCAGCAGAACCACTTTCCAATTGAGCGTTTCCTTTCCAATTGAGCGTTTTTGGATGAAATGAGCGTTATTTTTGCTCGAAACGGGAAAATCCGAAAAGGTGCCCACGGAAGACCCAGGTATAGTTTGGTTGTTGCGTGGCTGCTATTCTGACAACCAGACAGCTTTGCTGATTTCTTGTGTCAGCTCCATGACCAGCCCCCAGCTGTCGGCCCCATGAGATGAGTGGCTTGGTCATTACTTAAGTTTGATTTGTGATGTATATATAACACCCGGCCCTTCCAACCTTTTCCTCCAGCCTAGCAGGTGCACATCCTTGCCTATGAATCAGGTGGGTGGACATACATCCCCCCATGTATTTCTGTCCCTGCAGATGAACATGGAGTTCCAACAGTAACCCTAATATGTGGAGGAATCTCCTTGTGGGGTGGAGCCCAATGTTGATTCGCAGTGGGGTAACTAGTCTCTTCCGGCGAAAAAGTTGGCGAGGTACATCAAGCCCCTGTGGCTCATTGAGGAGGAGAAGCGGCTCCAGACCCAGCTTCGGGAGCTGCAGGGCGAGGCCGGAGCCGTTGGCTTCGAGGCGATGCTACCCATTGCCGCCTTTGGTTTAAAGGGAGGCCAAAGGGGCAGCCGGAATAAGCCGGAATCCATTATGGGGGCTTTCCTATTTTGACACATACCCCATAAGAAAGCTTTATTTGTTTTAAAGGGGGAACCCCGTTTCGGGTGGTTTTTGAAGCGGCAAGAGGAGAGAAACCATGCAATCCATGGTATAAGAATAAAGCCATCATCGGAGGCCGTTGCAGTTGACCCATCGTTTTCTTCGCCAGGATGGTGCTGCCATCGCGCGGAAGCTGGTTGAGTCTGGAGAGTACTTGAAGAAGACCACGCTGGGCTGAGCAGCTAAAAAGAATTGTTGGTCAAATCAATTCCTGCCATGTTAATCTCAGTGTTTACGGAGTATGACAGAACGACAGAACGCACGAGACAACAGGCAACCAACATATGTTTGCAACTTGCATAACAAACAATGTTTCACGATTAGTGCTGAGAAAGACACACACACACACGACTGTAAGCTGATGTAGCGTTGAAGCAAGCAAATGAGGGCGGGTCCTCCACTTGCATTTGTGGCTCAAGGTTTATCCAACACTGCTCCGGCTACAACACAATGTGTTGAGTCAGGTACAGCCATACCAGCAATTCCTTGTTCCCAGCTTGGCCTTTCAAAACAGCATTCGATCTTTGGCCATTTGCCTTGCCTTGTTCTTGCGGCGCTTGCCACTGACTTCCAGTCTCGCACGGACAAAAGTTTCGTGAGTTCCATCGGGTGCACAGCTCAGTTCCCGGGACCCGGCCGACTCCTCAAAGATGGCTGTCCGGGAGGCGAGTTGCACTCGTAGCTCAGAGAGCCCTTGATGGGGGCACGTCACGGGTTTGGATTTCAGGCAGTTTCAGCAGAAAGAAAACATAAGAAAACAGCCCTGTGGCAAACCAACCGTGCTGAGAGGTGCGCGCCAACCCATAAATGACACCGCACAAATTTGCCCGGGAATCACCCCGTTTGCGCGATCCCCCGTTAAGGGCCGCCAAGATAGCTTTGTATTTTACCTGCAAAGATCTAGGCTGAAACACCTGCATGGCTGGAACCCAAAGAAGAGTTTGCACGTTGGGAACTGAATTAGAGCCATGCCTGGTTGTGCAGGACAGGCATTGCCCCCCTTGCTACTGGGCTTCAGTCTGAGTGACATGGACTACCCTTAGCTCGTGTGGCAGGCGCAGCATTTCGCACACTTTGGGCATCAGAAAACACGCCCCCTCGCCCGCTCAGGGCTGTACCCAAATGGTACACACACACACACACACCCGCCCGCGCGCACTCGCTCAGCGCTGTATCCAGCCCTGCCTAGCAGTAAGCGCCTGGGACACGCCCCCGCTGTTTGGTTGGACGCCGAGAAGGACAGATCTTGGCTTGTGCAGTGAACAGATGCTGTCGCGTGCTGCGAAGGGGCAAACCCGACCTTGGCAGTGCAGCGACGGTACTTTCTTCGCCCAGGCAAAACGCTCGGAATGCCACGAAGAAAGGGCGTATTTGGCCCCAATGAGCACTCAAGCTTCGAATCTGTCTTGTGTTTGCTTGCGGCGTTTGTTTACAAGCCGTCGAAGTGTTGTTTAAGGACTCCAATTTCATCCCACAGCACATCCTGAGTTGTGTGCATCGAACTCTTCAACTCCACATTGCTTCTTTTCCAGGAATTGCAAGACCAACCACAACCGAATATCATCCATGTCCAGAGCAATCGATTTTGTGCTGGAATCAAGTATATTATATGTTGTTAGTGAGCAAAGGATGAAGTAGGTTTGATGTCTTCCCCAGAGGTTTGTTGGCCGCCCCCACCCCGCACAACACAAACGTGGTGAGCAAATGTTCGAAGGTGCCTTCCAGGAAGCTCCTCGGGCCCAGCCTGACAGGTCTCCATTCATGACTCCTTCCGCCTGCTGCGCCAGCATCTCCATGAGTTCCTGGATGCCAGCAAGACCCTCGCCATGGATTTAAGTCTCACGGAATTGGGTTTCTGTGAGGCTTTGTTTGGACCTCATCCCTTGCTTGGACCTACAGTCACACTTTCACTGGAAGTCAGTAAATTGCAATTTGTCCCAAAAAGGGGGCGGGTTTTTGCGTCTCCGAAACGCCCGCGACGAGGGCGAAGGTGACCGCCTGGATCCCCGAGACCCAACCCGTGGAGGGATCCTTCAGCTGGAGCTTCGCAGAGAAGGCGACCTGCACCGCAGGGCGCCCAAGACGTTCCGACTTTTGATGAGCGCCTCTGAAGTTTGTTAGAACCTGGCAAGAGGGTACCGGTGCCATCATCCCTACCGAAATGGGAAGGTCCGGCAAAGCACAAGGTATGGTAGTCCAGCCACGACACACCCAGAAGTTTCTGGTCTCCGTCCCCAGCAACCCCCTACGTAATAAGCTCACCCGCTTTTAGGCCTTGAAACTGAAACCTCATGGTGGCCACAGGGTGTGAAACTGAAACCGCAAAGCTGCGAAACAGAACGGAGTGTCCAAGAGATCCGCGCTTCCCCTTAGAGCTCACCAAAAGGTCCTAATGGCTTGGGATACTCCTGCTATAAAAATAGGGTGACCTCGAAAGGATTGTTTTCGTTTTGGTTTCCTGTTTTGTTTAGCCAAAGTGAAAAGGGTACCATAAACAAACACAAACCCAGTTGCAGTTGACCGTGTTGCAAGTGGGCTTGTCCAGATAGGGTTATGACATTTTTGCAGCCACACACTGAGGTGTCTTGAAATATTTATTTTTTCAATAAATCATCGATTTCATGATCCTCAACACTATCCTTTTTTTATCCTCATCGTTTGTCATTATCCTCCAGATTATCATTGTTTTATCCTCATCGTTTTTCATTATCCTCAAGCCTGCCTGCCTGCCTGCTCGCTCGCTCGCTCACTTGTTTTGCTTTGCTTTGCTTTGCTTTGCTTTGCTTCGCTCGCTTGCTTTGCTTTGCTTTGATTTGCTGGGCTTGGCTTTGCTTGGCTTGCTTTGGTGGGTTTCCTTCAGCTTCAGCCATGAAACAATTTAGTTGGAGCCATTTTGCGCAAGAAATGTCTGACGGTGGCTGTGTTGAAGCTCGTTTCAAATCGTGTTCCAGGCTGGAGAACAGGGGAGGAAAATAGGGAGGATGATTTTTGGAAGGTTGATGTCAGGCAGGATAATTTGTTGGATGATTTTTTGAAGATGGATTCCGGTCAGGATGATTTTTCGAAGATTTTTCGAAGATTGTTCGATGATGTTTTGAAGATTTTTCGATGTTTTTTCGATGATTTTTTGAAACAAGAGGAGCCCGGGAACCCAAAAGCAAACCAGCCTCTCTCCCCATGGCATGTGGATCCCGTTGTTTTCCGGCTCAAGGGTCCGAAGGCAAACCAAGATTTAAGTTGTTCACAGTTGGGAAATCAACCCCGACTCAAGCCGGATTGGCAGCCAGCAGCCTGTGCTCTGACCAAGCACAGAGAAAAAGGCAAAGGCACGGGTGAAACATGACAGCCCCCGCACAAATGGAAGCAAGGCAAAAGCTCGCTCTACACCCATCTGAAACAAGTCTGAGACACAGTGTTACAACACGATCTGAGTAGACCGGGGTCAGCTGTTCGGATGTTCAGGCGCCCTTTTGTGTGGGCCGAGTGTGCTCAGCATATTCATGCCAACGTGCTTCCAGGCTGCTTCCGAACCCAAGAGGCCACAGACTCTGGAGAGAGGGTTCGTCCTAGAAACACATTGGCGCCATTAGCTCGGGTCAGGTGTGCGGCAAAAAGGACAATCTTGGCGCACCTGGAACGCCGGGCTGTTCACATGGAGCCGTGCACGTGGCCTTCACAAACTTGCTTCGTAAGCTTGCTTGGATTCGTTAGTTTCTCCGCCTATTTTCCCATTCGCAGCCAGTTGCAACTGGTGACTTTGTGGAAAGGGCCGCGCACGTTGTCAATTGGATGCGTGTGGATGGCAAGTTGGGTGGATTCGCCGCAGGTGTGTGGAGACGGGGCCGGCGCTGCGCTTTTGCGGGGGGCTCGGTGTGGACAAGCCTCGGTCACTTGGTGGGTCTGACGCCTGTCTGAAACAAGTCTGAGACACAGTGTTACCACGATCTGCGTAGACCGGGGTCAGCTGTTCGGATGTTCATGCGCCCTTTTGTTTGGGCCGAGTGTGCTCAGCATATTCATGTCAACGTGCTTCCAGGCTGCTTCCAAATAAGTAGGGCGAACCCCAAGAGGCTACAGCTTCTGAAGAGAGGGTTCGTCCTAGAAACACATTGGCACCATTTGTTCGGGTCAGGTGTGCGGCAAAAATGACAATTTTGGCGCACCTGGAACGCCGGGCTGTTCACATGGAGCCGTGCACGTGGCCTTCACAAACTTGCTTCGTAAGCTTGCTTGGATTCGTTAGTTTCTCCACCTATTTTCCCATTCGCAACCAATTGCAACTGGTGACTTTGTGGAAAGGGCCGCGGTGTGGACAAGCCTCGGTCACTTGGTGGGCCTGGCGCCTGTCCGGAACAAGTCTGAGACACAGTGTTACCACGATTTGCGTAGACCGGGGTCAGCTGTTCGGATGTTCATGCGCCCTTTTGTTTGGGCCGAGTGTGCTCAGCATATTCATGTCAACGTGCTTCCAGGCTGCTTCCAAACAAGTAGGGCGAACCCCAAGAGGCTACAGCTTCTGAAGAGAGGGTCCGTCCTAGAAACACATTGGCACCGTTTGCTCGGGTCAGGTGTGCGGCAAAAAGGACAATTCTGGCGTACCTGGAGCGCCGGGCTGTTCACATGGAGCCGCGCACGTGGCGGTTGCCGCATGTCATGAGCGTCCACCTCCGCCGCGCCAGTCTTGCTCGCCGGCATGTCACGAGCGTCCACCACGCCAGTCTCGCTCGCGAGCGGTTTCCGCATGTCACGAGCGTCCACCGCGCCAGTCTCGCTCGCGGGCGGTTTCCGCATGTCACGAGCGTCCACCGCGCCAGTCTCGCTCGCGGGCGGTTTCCGCATGTCACGAGCGTCCACCGCGCCAGTCTCGCTCGCGGGCGGTTTCCGCATGTCACGAGCGTCCACCGCGCCAGTCTCGCTCGCGGGCGGTTTCCGCATGTCACGAGCGTCCACCGCGCCAGTCTCGCTCGCGGGCGGTTTCCGCATGTCACGAGCACCGCGCCAGTCTCGCTCGCGGGCGGTTTCCGCATGTCACGAGCGTCCACCGCGCCAGTCTCGCTCGCGGGCGGTTTCCGCATGTCACGAGCTCCACCGCGCCAGTCTCGCTCGCGGGCGGTTTCCGCATGTCACGAGCGTCCACCGCGCCAGTCTCGCTCGCGGGCGGTTTCCGCATGTCACGAGCGTCCACCGCGCCAGTCTCGCTCGCGGGCGGTTTCCGCATGTCACGAGCGTCCACCGCGCCAGTCTCGCTCGCGGGCGGTTTCCGCATGTCACGAGCGTCCACCGCGCCAGTCTCGCTCGCGGGCGGTTTCCGCATGTCACGAGCGTCCACCGCGCCAGTCTCGCTCGCGGGCGGTTTCCGCCTGTCACGAGCGTCCACCGCGCCAGTCTCGCTCGCGGGCGGTTTCCGCCTGTCACAAGCCACCGCGCCAGTCTCGCTCGCGGGCGGTTTCCGCATGTCACGAGCGTCCACCGCACCAGTCTCGCTGTCTCGCTCAGGGGCGGTTTCCGCATGTCACGAGCGGCCACTGCGCCAGTCTCGCTCGCGGGCGGTTTCCGCATGTCACGAGCGTCCACCGCGCCAGTCTCGCTCGCGGGCGGTTTCCGCATGTCACGAGCGTCCACCGCGCCAGTCTCGCTCGCGGGCGGTTTCCGCATGTCACGAGCGTCCACCGCGCCAGTCTCGCTCGCGGGCGGTTTCCGCATGTCACGAGCGTCCACCGCGCCAGTCTCGCTCGCGGGCGGTTTCCGCATGTCACGAGCGTCCACCGCGCCAGTCTCGCTCGCGGGCGGTTTCCGCATGTCACGAGCGTCCACCGCGCCAGTCTCGCTCGCGGGCGGTTTCCGCATGTCACGAGCGTCCACCGCGCCAGTCTCGCTCGCGGGCGGTTTCCGCATGTCACGAGCGTCCACCGCGCCAGTCTCGCTCGCGGGCGGTTTCCGCATGTCACGAGCGTCCACCGCGCCAGTCTCGCTCGCGGGCGGTTTCCGCATGTCACGAGCGTCCACCGCGCCAGTCTCGTTCGCGGGCGGTTTCCGCCTGTCACGAGCGTCCACCGCGCCAGTCTCGCTCGCGGGCGGTTTCCGCGTGTCACGAGCGTCCACCGCGCCAGTCTCGCTCACGGGCGGTTTCCGCTCACGAGCGTCCACCACGCCAGTCTCGCTCGCGGGCGGTTTCATGTCACGAGCGTCCACCGCGCCAGTCTCGCTCGCGGGCGGTTTCCGCCTGTCACGAGCGTCCACTGCGCCAGTCTCGCTCGCGGGCGGTTTCCGCATGTCACGAGCGTCCACCGCGCCAGTATCGCATGTCACGAGCGTCCACCGCGCCAGTCCAGTCTCGCTCGCGGGCGGTGTCCGCATGTCACGAGGGTCCACCGCGCCAGTCTCGCTCGCGGGCGGTTTCTCCATGTCACGAGCGTCCACCACACCAGTCTCCGCGGGCGGTTTCCGCAGGTCACGAGCGTCCACCGCGCCAGTCTTTCCGCATGTTCCACCGTCCGCATGTCACGAGGGTCCACCGCGCCAGTCTCGCTCGCGGGCGGTTTCTCCATGTCACGAGCGTCCACCACGCCACAGTCTCGCTCGCGGGCGGTTTCCGCAGGTCACGAGCGTCCACCGCGCCAGTCTCGCTCGCGGGCGGTTTCCGCATGTTCCACCGCGCCAGTCTCGCTCGCAGGCGGTTTCCGCATGTCACGAGCGTCCACCGCGCCAGTCTCGCTCGCGGGCGGTTTCCGCATGTCACCATTTTTCGCTCGCGGGCGGTTTCCGCATGTCACGAGCGCGCCAGTCTCTCTCGCTCGCGGGCCAGCCTCGCGCACCCAGTCTGCACCACACCGCCGTCCCACCAGCCAGCCCCACACCGCCGTCCCCCCAGCCAGCCTCGTACGCCCGGTCTGCACCTTTAGCCGGCATCGCACGCCCGGTCTGCAGCACAACGAAATCAAAATCCCTTCTTATCTCCTTCGTCAAAGCTTGTATCGCTCCCAGGCACCTTAAGAGAAAACCTAAAGCAGAACCCAAGCATCAGAGATGCTTTTGGGAAAAAATTAGGACTCTGTTCGGGTGTTCGTG